AGGCTGAAAAACCCAAGTGGTTTAAAAAATAAAAAAAAATATAAAATATAAAAATATAAAATAAATTACAGGTGTTACACTTATTAACCGTTTAAAAAATAAATAAAATTAGTAGGAATGATTGATTTCATAAATGTTGTTATTTAAAATCGATTTGCTTATTAACATTGATATCAACACATCAGTTATTATTGTTATCCAGCAATTTTATTTACGACATTTTGGGTAGGAAAGTTTGATCTTTAGTCAAATTGCTGATGATGGTAGAGTTTTGATGATTAGTGAAATTATTTTGACCAACGAAATAGCTGTCAACAAAATTTTGATGATTAATGCTCGTAATATTATTACTTGAGTTCTGTTCAGCGACGAAATTGTTTTGGTGATTATAAATCATATTTTGACGTATGTAATTCTCATCGCCAGCATTTTGATAAACGTCCTCATGCTTAGGATTTTGATGAACCATGTTTTGGTGAATGTAATTATTATTACCTATGCTTTGATAAATTTCTCCAGGATTTTGATGAATTAGATAATTATGAAGCATGTTTTGATGATGAGCGTAATTATTATCACCGACATTTTGATAAATGTCTTCTGGGTTTTGATAAATTGTATTATGAACCATATTTTGGCGAACGTAATTATTATTATGATAAATTTCTTCATGGTTTTGGTTTTGATGAATAAGATAATTACGAATCATGTTTTGTTGATGAGCGTAATTATTGTCGTCACCATTGTGATAAATGTCTTCAGAGTTTTGATAAATTGTATTATTAAGAGCCGGGTATTGATTAGTGATACTCCTTGTTTGTATTTGCCCATTAGAATTAAAACCGTTATCATCGGAGTTATTATTATTATCATCCATTTTTGTTTTTTTTTTTGTTTTTTTAAAAAAATTATTTTTTTCGCCTGTTTGAACAATCATCTTTTTTATATGTTTAAAAATATTTTTTATAAAGCGTGAATTTGTAAAAAATATTTATTGTCGGACAACAGATTTGTTTTTCAAAATAAATAATCACATAGATAGATATTTTTACTAGTTTATCGTTAGCAAGATCTTTAAATATAAAATCGAGTGACCGGGGTTTTTATTTATTATTAATTAACCAATTTAGGATATGAAAAAGAGTTGTCAGGAAATAGTGATGGGCGTAAAAATTATTTTGAAAAAGGAACAAGTTATTAAGTG